GGCTGAAACTTTGATATGTTATACTTTATGACATCCTGATCAAAAGTGTCCATGGGCCCAAAGTCCAAAAATGGACAGTTTTCGAGATATCGAACAATGAATGCCCTAGGAATACGTTAAGAAGCTTCATAAGACTACAGTATTATAATTGCAAACAATCTTTTTCAAAAGTGTACGAACGTGCGTGCGTGCGTGCGTGCTTGTGATGTGTAGGTAGATGGGTGAGTATATTTGTTTATTAGGTTTTTGTTATCGGTTATGCATATATGTATGTTAGAATATGATCTTATTGTGTTTTAGCGAAGATTAGTGTGCGTGCAGTTGTCTGTGAAATAATGATTTATTCCATGAGTTCAAAAAATCAACAAATCACTATTACAATACTCTATCATTCCTATGGATTGACATAATAAAAAGATGTTCTATTTTTCGAGTCTATGTTTCGAGTATATGAATTTTCAGTAAGAAAGGAAAAATTTATATATCTCTAATGACATTCATATTAATACAATTCTCAACGAAAAGATGTAAAAATAAGATATAATGACTTCACAAGTGAAAAACGACTACAAAATAGAAATATAGCCATACTCCAAATATAAATTCATATACGATGTGAAAAATAGAACATCTTTTTTTTTAATAAATCACTATTTTACACACAACTGCCCACACACTCACTAACAACTACACACACACACACACACACACACACACACACACACACTCTTCAGACACTCTTGAAAAGAATTGTTTGCAATCATAATACTGCAGTCTTATGAAGCCTCTTAATGTATTCCTAATGCATTTATTATTCGATATCTCGAAAATTGTCCATTTTTGGACTTCGTGCCTATGGACACTTTTGATCAGGATATCATAAAGTATAACATATCAAAGTTTCAATCAATTTGACCGGAATCCATTTTCCACTTGTTTAGTGCGGGGCCCTTTATACATACAGGGTGTTCCCGTATAAGTGGCCACTCCTTTTTATCTCATAAACTAATAGAGATAGGCCTAATAAATATCAAATTAAACTGCTCTGACTAAACTTTATTGTAAGCAGAGTGATCACTTAGAAATATTATCTATGTTAGAGAGCAAAAAGACATGATTAATTTTTGCACGGTAAGGTTACAATTTTAATATGATAAAAGTTGTAGCATTCTTTTTAACGAATACAACGATGTATAATATAACGAAATTATTTTACGAATTATAAGAGTTATTTTGGTTTAAAATTTTGCGGGCAGTTACTACCTTTTCAATTTCGGCCCTGCGATGTGGCCAACTTCTGATTTTTGCGTTGACATTGACGTATAATGTTTTTATCTGATCACAGTACTCTCGTTAGTGTGAGAGTCGGAAGTCGGCCACATCGCAGGGCCGAAATTGAAAAGGTAGTAACTGCCCGCAAAATTTTAAACCAAAATAACTCTTATAATTCGTATGTGAGAGGCCGATCCAAAACACAGTTTTATAATGTCAGGAACAATATATATTTTGCTGAGAAATTACAAAAAGAAAACCAATGTGCTATCGCCAACGTGCTATTGCTAACATG